GTGAAACAATGTTCTTGATTGTGTCAAATAAAAGTTTTGGATTTCTTCCTTTGGATTTGATGAGGTTTGCAAAATAATTGGTCCTGGCAGTTTTGAGCATCTCATTTAAGGAGCTGATCAGTTCTTTAAGATAGAGCCTGTGAACCTCCAGCTTGGTTTTTTTCCACTGATGCTCAGTCTTATGGCAAACTCTCCTCAAGCTAAGGATTTCCTTATTAATCCAAGGACAGTTTGTGTGCTGCACAGTGCTCTGTTTTACAGGTGCTATAGTATCTTAAATATTTGTACAATGAGCATTAAAACGAGAAACATATGAGTCCACATTGGTGATGTTAGAATCTAAAGAGGCAGAATCAAAAAATAAAGTAAAGGCTTCAGAAGTGTGCTCATTTATGATCCGCCTTTGGATCATAAGTGTAGGAGGAGCTGGATCAGGACTAAAAGATACATTAAAATATATACAATTATGATCACTAAAAAATACATCCTCCACACAAACATCCTCTARATTAAGGCCTAAGGAGAAAACAAGGTCCAATGTATGGCCTTTTTTATGAGTAGGCACACACACATGCTGAGTAAAATGAAATGAGTCCATGATGGAGATCAAGTCAGCAGCTGCCTTACAGGAAACATCATCAATATGTAGAGTAAAATCACCCAATATTAAAACATTCTCCAGCTTAATGATGGAAGACAGCAGCTCAGTAAATTCAGATAAAAACACACTGGCTGCACCTGGAGGACGGTAAATTAAAATACAGTAAAAAGTTTTCAAAGAGCCAACTTTGATTATTTGAAGTTCAAATGCAGAGAATGAGGCTGAGTTAACAAGTCTGCAGGAGTAACCATCTTTAAACACGGCCGCTAATCCACCGCCTCTCACTTTGCATTGACTGTTTATGGTTGAGTGTGGGCGTGTAGAGGATAGAACCTGAGGCGGGACCTTGAGCGCAAACTCTGACGTGCGGCTGTGATTTATAAAGGACAGATGCACAGAAACATGCGTACGCACGGTTTTATTAATCTGTATTTTTTTTGGCATACGCCATTTCCGCCTTTTGGCCGTACATTCACTTTTAGTATGGTTTCCATGCAATCCTTTATAATTGAGACCCCTGATGGCTTCCAGCGTTACTGGCATGACAAGGAGATCCCACGGCACAGTGGAGGGGGTGCCATCATGATCTGGGGGGCTTTTTCCGTCAATGGATCAATGGAGCTTCAGGTTGTAGAGGCATCAAATGGCTGTTGGCTACATGGAGATGTTGCAGTTGCAGAAAGTGGATGCCCTCCGTGAAGCCATCTTTACCACTTGGAGCAACATTTCCTCTAGCCTCCTGGAAACACAAGCATCAAACATATTGTAGGAATTACTTAATGAAATCAGGACCAGCCTATTTTCATAAATGTAATCCAGCAAGACCTTGCAAGAAATGAAATCAGAAATAATGAAACACCCCTCTGATCATGAATGAGAAAAGAACTTGTGGTCTTGTCAGATTTCTCAAATAAAGTAATTTATTTTAGATATATGACCAGAATAAACATACAAACATTTCTTAAAATATTATATGAACAAAAACACAAGTTATAATTTTTCATAAAAATTCCACTCAGAGTTGACATAAAACAGTAAATTTCAGGTGTTGCAATTTACTGGCACTACTTGACTAAGTTTCTTAAGTAAATAAGAGAGAAAAAGGTAAAGATTTAAGTTTTAAGAAWWYGYYGYAYYAGAGAAATTAGTAACTTTAGCACTGTTCTTTAAATCAGACCTGACCAGCACCAACAGCATGTCAGAGACTTGGACACCTCCGGGGGCTAGACTTTCTCCGACGTTTTATCTCAAACTCTTTGTCTACCTTTGATGTCTTGATGAAGACTCCACGCAGGTGGACGGTTTAGAGAGAGTCGGCACACAGTCCGCCCAGGTGGACAATGTCCGTCATTGACAGCAGTGGGGTTGAGAAGACGCCTCGTCTCACCCAGCGAAGCCAGTGGCTTCAGGCTCGGTCCCTCAGAACAGTCGTTTCTTTTCTCGGCATATTAGTCATCCAGACTCCAGGCAGGTGCCTGTCCAGGCACACTCAGGGACCCAACAGAACCATCCGCTCAGGCCAACAGACAACGTAAACTGATTAACTGTTCTGAATAGAAAAAGTTAGTTTCTTGAGAGGGAAAGGCTAGGAGGGTGAGAAAGAAAACAAGGTGGCTTTCTCAGACTCGCTCTTCGGCCAGCTGTGCACTTATCAGTAAAAAACCTTGAAACTGCAAAGGCAGCTTTCTTTTCTGTCTCGAAAATCACACCACTGCACAAATGGATTAATAATGAAATGAATAGTACATAATATTAATCATTAAATCAATTAAGAAAATGATAAAACCATTATTAATACCAGTACTAAGAAAAAACATTAAAGCACATTTCACTCATTTTCTTTTCACTGTTACACTCTAAAATAAAGAGAGATATGCAAAGATTAAATCAATAAAACTTTGATTATATTGACTGAAACCTCTAATAGAAGATTAAATGAGATAATATATATATAGGACTTTGTCCTATTCACTTAAAGAAAATAAAAAACACTTTAAAATGATTTCTTCTTATAAGTGTAAAAATATAAAATCAAAGACAAAGAAAAAAACAATAGAAAAGTTTTTTTTTTCACCAGGGTTACCTCTACAATATCCAAATGAAATTTTGCTGCTACTCATTACTGAGTATTTGATTTGATTTGAAAGCAAGCAATGTCTGACTTTCATTTCTTCATTTTCATAGAAATTTCATTTATTATTACTTTTGTCAGATTCTAGTTATTTCTGTAACCATTGTGGGTTTTTCTTTCATTAAATGAGYGGTACCAACAATTTTGTCCATGTGCTTACAAACACTAAACACAGCAGAGTTTTCTAAATGTGTGGTGAAGGCTTAAAGGTGATATCTCATGAGACTGCAACTATTTGGACAACAGTTTTCACAAGGAAGTCGTCCGGATGTCCTGCAATGTTGGCAAACACGATCCTGTCTCAACTTTTTAAAATGTGTTGTTGCCGTAAAATTAACTTTTTTAAATTTTTTTTCTAAGTTTGTTAATTTGATATGTTATTTATGTTGTAAATAACATATGGGTTTATGGGATCTATAAATCATCACATTTAGTTTTTATTTAGATTTTACACAACGTTTAAACTTTCAGAATTGGGTTTCTGTTTTATAATTTTTTTATTGTTATTTTTGTTAAAAAGTGCCTCCATTTCAATAATAATCTGAGGAAAACCAGTGCGAGCCCCCATCCTTCAATAACTTTTTTTATTGGCAAGACAGGTTTATTATCGTGATCCATCCTTGACAGTTACCACAGTGACCAAATATGCCATCACTGCCAATTCCCACACGTGGTCAGGGCAACAAGGCAAACAGGGATGTTAAAATCTGTTTCTAAGTTAAGACTGTTGCTGCTCTAGTGTTGGCAGTAGTGGTTCGGAGAAGGTTCTACTGACAAATATGCAAACACATACATCATCTGCTGTTAATAGGCCTGAACCTGGAGCAGCCAAGTGATGACAGAGCAAGCAGTCAACCTGTTAGTTTAGATTCACTTTTTCCACCTTCACTTTAGCACAAAAGAAGCTCCATAAGCTTTGCTAGCAGTGATTTCACTGCACTGCTGTAAAGTGTAGTGCTTATTTGAAGAATGGAGTAAGCTATGAATGGAGGGAAACATGCATTTAATATGTTTTTGAATAGAGCTAAAGCTGTAATTTGGACCAGAACAGATTATGTCCTGGAAGTCTCATAATGACCTTCAGATTAAATCTGTTCTATTGTTATTGTCTGTTGAATCAACTAAACATATCCTGCCGTTCAGTTTTGTGTATGATCAAAAATCGTTGTTCTTCAGGAGGGGTGTCAAACTCGTTTTCACAGAGGGCAACATACATTTTATGGTGGCCCTCAAAGAGCCAGTTGTAATGAACTTTGTTTCATGTTTAACTTTGTCTTAACACAAAATGTCACGTTCCTCGTCTCGTTGCCACAACTAAGCAATGCTAATAAACAGTAGCTGAGCTCTACATGGTTTTTCATGCATAGAAACAGTGTTTTAACACATCCTCTTATAAACACTGAAAAGTCATATGTGTACAGCTGACTACATGTGACATAAGTAACACAGAATTACCATTAAAAGTAAGAGTTTTACTCACTGTATGGGTAAGTAGCTGCCATCTTGAATTTTTAACTGCCACTTTCCCATGGGGAATTTCCACTGGAGGGACGTTCCAGTTTAAACTTACAACTTGTAAGTGGGAAATTTCCATTTAAATTTACGACTTGTAAGTGGGTAATTTCCACTTCCCAGTACAACTGGACCACAGAAAAAGTAGCCCCAAAATTTCAGTTAAATGGAGATTTTACATGTCCAATTGCGGCAGCTGCAATCTAGTTTGGAACCCTGTGCATCTCCATCAAGCGGTGGTATGACATCATTTCGCGGGCAAAAATTGAATGCATGATGGGCGATGTAGTTTATGGTCAATACTTGTTTTAAAGCAGGAAATGCTTGTGTTAGGCCTTTAATAGGTTTTTGAAGCTCTCACGGGCCACATAAAATACCATGGCGGGCCACATTTAGCCTGCAGGCCTTCAGTTTTACACATGTGATCTATAGTAATAAATATTGGTCTGACTTACATAATAACTGTGTTTGTTAGATACTGCGAGGAGAGGATTCCTGTTCATCCTTGCCTTCGGCTCATCAGCAACTGTGAGCAGCCACTGTCCAGCCACACTTCACGACGCCTGATCACTATGGAGAAAATCAAAGAGCCAGAGGTATGTGCCCAAAATTGTTGGATTGTAAAATGTTGAAAGAAATTGCATCAGTTTAATAAATGACTAAAACAAATATACAAGGGACAACAATGTCAAAGATTTATAGTAGCCCGTTGTCTGTAGTGTGAGGATTTGACCTGTCGTCAAAGAAATCTTTGCTTATGCCCATTCAGGTTTAAAGCTGTATTTTTCAGCTTATGTGCCTTTGCACAGTAACACTTTCTGCAAAAAAAGTTAAGTTCTCAGATGGACCAGGTTGGTTTGGATAGCATTTTTTATACATTCATGCTGACTAACAATACACATGTAAATAATTTGATTTGCAAAGAGCTGGCAGATGTAGAACAAGCACCTGAGGGTGTTAGTGATGTTGTATGATCGTTGGTGTTCATCATCAACAGTTCATTATCAACTGTGTGTGTGTGTGTGTGTGTGTGTGTGTGTGTGTGTGTGTGTGTGTGTGTGTGTGTGTGTGTGTGTGTGTGTGTGTGTGTGTGTGTGTGTGTGTGCGTGTGTGTGTGCGTGCGTGCGTAACACAGATGCATGCATGTAAAGTGAGAACATGTGTGTTTGTGTTTTCTTTAATGCACCCCTTGTATCTTCTAAAGATCTTTCTTACTTGGTTACATATACATATGTTCTGTGTACATGAATGTGTTTATTTTTTTACATGTCATTTCTCTGGAAGTGATGGTGTCTACGTCTCGAGTAAATCCTCACCATCTGGCTGTGATTGACTCATTTCTTTTATACTGGAGCCCTAAATGGCTTAATCACACGTCGTATGGAAAACAATCCATCTTTAGATCTGACATCAATTCCACTTCAAAACCCCAAATTGCTCCCATAAACGGCACTGTTTCACACACACACAATCTTATCTGACTAGTATCTATCTCAGGTTGCATTTTTCTCTTTTCCAAATAGGTTTTAAACTACCCTTAGCTGCACTCTTTAATCGGGGTTCACAGCTTTTGTTTGTTTTAAACATTTGTATGCTTTGAACTTGAACTAGGCGTAAGAAAGATTCATATCAAAAGTTGAGTTGCCCCATCAGAAGCCAAGATGGCCACCACCATTTATGTATATGTAAATGAGACACCCCTCTCATTTCAGTAAACTATATTTGCTAGTTTTTATAGTGCCTAAAAAGATGTAGTAGGCAAAGATACCATTGGTCACCCTATGGCTCCGCATTTCACCTGGTGGTGTATAAAACTGCTCCCTCTGCTCACCAGGATCTGTCACTCTGTGCCACCTCCAACAACGAAAAAACAAAAACTGTTCTTGTACACAGTTTAACTCCTACCCTCTTGAATATCTTGCACCACAACATTTAGGCTTACTATTATTACCTGTACATTTCCAGTCTGGAAAAACACACATTTCACAAAATACAAACATTCAACATTCAAATCCTTCAGCAGCAAAGGGACATCTGCGTACCGCTTATTGTGATCACATAGAAGAGCTTTTCCTCTACTTACAGAGCTACTGTGCAAATGTAAAACAACCTTTCACGTCTGACGGTGTATCCATTTTTGAGCAAGTGTAATCAAGAATTAACATAAAAATATCCCGTAGTATATAGAGGAAATCTGTTGTTTAAATATTGTCTTTTAACGACACGACACACAGGTGCTTTTTACGTTTTTTTAATTTAAATTTTTTTCTGACCTCTTAGTCTTCGAATACATCTGAACTGTTGCCCCATGTAAAGGCTAAAAGGGCCAAAAGCTCTGTCAATAGGCTTTCCAGCAGCCAAACTCGTCTCTCCTCCTCAGCTGCTTTGAACAGCAGAGTGTGGAGTCTCAGTCTGTTCTTCGTGAGGCTAAAAAAAGTGATAAAATAATAAAAATGTGTTAAAACAAAGACAAGGAGGAAAACCCTTAAGGCCCTGTCACACTAAGACAACTTATGAACATTTTAAAGACATCTACATTGAAGATGGAATTGAAAAAAGCAACAGGAAGCTTCCTTTTGGCGTGTATATAATGTAATTCAAACAAATTTATCAAATATACAACTTTTATTAGCAATTTAGACATAACAAATGTTTCATAAGTTGGCATAAGTTGTCTAGTGTGACAGGGCCTTTATCTGTGTCTTTGTTCAAACATTAAGTTAAACTGAGGCAGCACCAACATGCACAGTAGATCTGTACATGGATCCTGCTCCTTCCAGTCTGTTGACCAATAGGAGAGGAGGACTGCCCACCTTATTTACAAATCTTAATCTTTATAGATTATTGTTAAATTATACAATCATATACTTCAATTGTAAGTTTGGCAAAATTTACAAACCTGCAACAGAAAAGTTGTCAGTTGGCTTTTGTATGTTTTAATTTATATAATTATTATCATGTGTAAATGAAAACGGCAGTGTTTTCTTCTAGTGTAACTGCATGCAGTAAAACTGTCTAAGAGGACAAACAGGCAGCACTTTCAACCACTAAAGTGTATTAACATATACATTTTTCTGTGAACAGGAATTGGACAATCCTGCATATGTGTCAGACGGCCTCTACCAGGGACACAACACCTTCAGAAAGAAATATTTCAGTGCACGGAACAAAAAATCTGGCAAAGAAGAAGAACAAGCTCAGATGTTGATGGAAAATAAAATTTCTTAAAGGCCTTAAGAAAAACATTCTTACTTTTTTAGGTTGTCATTAAGATTTTAAACATTTGTTAGTTCATTTAGATTAGAAACTATCTTAAAATATAATGATGTTGTTGGTTTTTTTTTTACTTTGTGAATAAAATCCATTTAAAATGCAGATGTCTTAAGTGCTTTTTTCTAAAAATACATAATAGTTTTGATGTTGAGCTGCTCTTAATATTTTTTTAAATCAACTTTTACACTTTATAGCAGGGGTGCCCAAACATTCTTCCCAAGAGGGCCAAAATGAAAATCTATCTGGTGCTGCGAGCCAAATGCAGTAATATAATACATGAAATACAAATACTTTTTAAGTAAAGTCCTTTATTTTTAACAATTAAGCTAGCAGCCAGTGCGGTGGCCCGTTTTCGTTGTAGTCTGTGCACTTGGGGAAAGTTTGCCATACGCACAAGTAGCAAAGACATGTTATAAATTGATAAAACATTAATTTTGTTTGTGGCCATATAAAGTGTACAAATCTACATGTGTGGTTAAATCTAAAAGTCTCCTGTAACTTGTTTTTCATGGTTCATGTTTAATCTTAATATATCCAGGTCTTTCTGAAGCTCTCCACAAGTGGTCCTTGGCTCTTGGACAACTCTTCTGATAATTATTTTCACTCCTCTGTCAGAAATCTTGTGAGGAGCACCTGGTCGTGGTCAGTTTATGGTGAAATAATGTTCTTACTTTTTCCCTATATATATGTATATTAGCGGTGCAACGATTCAGAAAATTCACAGTTCAGTTCGGTTCAATACTTTACTGTCATGGTTCAGTATTTTTTCGATACAAAAAAGAGAAATTCTCATGCCCTTTTTTAACTTGTAATTTATTTAAATTAAGTACGAACATTTGTTTAACCTCAAAAGTACCGTTTTTAAATTAAATGTTGCTGAAACAGCAAGTTTCTCAGTGGATCTGCACTCAAAAATACAGCTTCGGTGAAGTAGTCGAACACAGATCCACTGATCCTTCAACACAGAGCATCTTCAGAAGACAAGCTGATGAAATAAATTTAAAAGATCTGCATTGTTCGATGCAAGTGTGTATTGAACCTAAAGCACTGAATAGAACGGTTTGATACGGTTACATGTATTGTTGCACCCCTTACATGTATGTATACATATATATATATATATATATATATATATATACTTTTTTGACAAATCTCTGGTGTTTGTTTATTAAAACCTTAAACTTTGACTCTTCATTTCTCTGATTGTGACTCAAAACAATCAGAAACATCAGATTCTTTGCAGTCTGTGGTGTTAGCTGTAGCAACGCTCTGTCATGCAGACATTCCCGTTTGTCATCACTTCCTGTCACTTCACATGCAAATATCTCAACAACTGTTCATATGAGCGCTGTGAGTTTTATTCCTTTTTAATGCAATATTATCAATGTTATCTTTCCATAACTGCATTGAAATTTATTAGAAAAAAATGACGTCACAGGCAAAGCATTCTGCAAATTATTGACTATATCTATAAAACTGCAATCATGAACAGGGAAACATGGTTAAATGAGAAGCAGCTCCCTATTTAGTCAAAAAGATAAAGGGTGTCCCCCCACCTCTCTACACCACTACAGTTAGTCTGCAGCGTTTGTTGTTTTCATGCTGCCGGCCTCGTTAATCATCTCCAGAGAGTGACGGAGCAGGCGATCGAATGCATCACCCCGTTGCTCTGTTTATCTCTTGGACCTCTGCCTTTCCACTACACTTCCTCCTTCACCCTACTTCACAGGGGGAAGTTCGAGGCTCCGTCACAAGCTGTTCGGCTCACCATCATTTGTGGTGGGTGTTGTTTACAGTTCCCACAGTGCCCCTTTGTTGATGCCTCATCATCATCATCATCCTGCAGATTCTAATGACACCACAAGGCAGATTTCTTGCCTCTCTTTACTTCCATCGATGCTTCTTTTCACTCCTGACATGTTGCAGATCAAGCTGCAGCAACACGCAGTGCTTTATGTCAGAGACAGTAGTCCTAATGCAGCTGCTTCGTGTTACTGGGTTAGTGTAGGGCTGTGCTGTGCTGCCACCATGCAGTGATAAAACAAGTTGTCCAGAGTGTTCAGTCTCCACTGATGCAGGCTATAATTAGAGAGAGGGAATGTGTGTTTGTGATAGTCTTTTACACACACTGTAATACTAACCAGACTTTGAGAAATTATGTCTCTGAATGTGTTTATACTTGTGAGCTTTGCTTTGGTTTTATTTTGCATGCTACCCCCCCCCCCCCCACACACACACACACACACGCGCACACACACACAATGCTTTTTCAGAGATAAAGTGGTCTGATAATTACAGAGATGGGCTCTTCTTTCCTCTATTTATTATTCTAAATATCATGTTTGTTTAGTGAGATTTGCAACATCAGCCCCTGCTCCCGCTCATTTATTTCCCCTCCTCCTCCCTAATCCCAGATTTCTCCTCACACTGCCACTTTCTGCTCTTCGCCAATTCACCTTTGACCTTTTCTCCTCTCTGCTTTTCTCAAAGGAGAACTCCCCGCAGGAGGAGAGGGCCACTGTTGTGGAACAATGACTCCTGATTAAACTCCTCTGTCTGAATCTGAGCTTCAACTTGCTGAGTCAGCATCACACGTGCATAAAGTGTTAATCTAAACCTGATTATGAGATTTAAAAAAAAGGAAAGAAAAGAAGAAGAAAACAGCAGTTTACAGTTTCTGGAAGAACCAAGAAAGAATCAATAGTGGCATCATTTAACAATTAGTATTTAGTTAAAATTGTGTACACACACACGACCAGAGGCTGATAAAGCAGATAAATTTGACTACAGGTAAACTAATAAACCAGTGTGTGCTGCTGTGATTCATGTTTCTTTGCTTGGAAAAAGTTTTAAAGAGGAAATTCAAATAGTTGGAAAGCTTTTTGAACTACGTTATTGTAAAGGAAAGATTAATTCTGACCAGATTGAGGAACTAATGAATCTGATTGGAACCAAGACCAAAGTTGCTGCCTTGTAAAAAAAAAAAAAAAAAAAAAAAAAAAAAAAGTTAGGTCAAGCAAATGTTTTTACTTTACGCTTTGACTTCGCTGTCATTTTGAATTACATGGTTTTACAGAAATTTAATCATCTTCCTGCTACAGTTCAAATGTGTTGTCACTGATTGCAGTCATTTAGCTTTACTGTTTGTTTCTGTAACAAACCTTGTTTTAGGGGTATGACATCAGATCCGGGGTGTGACCAAGTACTATAAAAACTTTTGAATGTGTTGTAATAGGTGCTATTTTGTCCTGGTGGACGGGTGGAACACAGCACTGTGATAATCTTTTTGTGTGTGAATAAACATTCAAGGGTGAGTATTCAGGTTCTCTCTGTACACAATTCCCTTCAGTTCCATCAAATTAACAAGTAGCTTCTGGGAATGAATCATTTTCAGCTAAATGACACGCAGAAATATGTGCTACTCCTCACTGCTGCGCTGCTCCGCATTGACAAATACGTCCACAAGGTTCTGACCGATCACAAAAGCGAAGCAAAGTGCTGAAGTTTGAATGGGTGCAATGTGCAAACGGGCTCAGCGGGAGGAAACATGAATGTTGCACAATTCTTGTCACGCAAGACTCTAAGCGAGATGTGAGGATGTAAGTTTAAATCAGCCTTAACTGTTAGCTCATTAATCCTCTCAGATTTAAGCTATATTTATCTAAATTGAGATAATTCAAAAAGGTACAATATAGGTTTATAACCCCCACAGGACAGGGCAGGGCAGGAAAGAAAATTAAATTCTAAAACCACAATCCTGCAGAATCTCAAGTACTGTGTAACTGTGATTAGGTGTAAGATATGCTTCTAATGTTTCTTCATCAACATTAATAAATAAAGTAAACTCTAAGTTAGAGATATTTGAACCAGGTCACCCTGTTGCAGGGGTGTCAAACTCAGGTCCTCGAGGACCGCTATCGTGCATGGTTTCCTTGTTTCTCTGCTCCAACACACCTGATTTGAGTGATTCAATTACCTCTTCAAATTCTATAGAAGCCTGTTAATCATCCATGCAAATCAGGTGTGTTTGAACAGGGAAAAAAGAAAACAGGCTCCCAAGGACTGGAGTTCGACGCCTGTGGTCTAAGGCTTAATAATCCCAATATTTTCATCAGATGATGAAGCTCAACGCTTGTGTTAACCAGTGATCCATAACAAGTGATTAGTCGCCTGTTGACCTGTAACACTAGTTAATTCTTCACGCGTATTCTGACACAAGTGTGTGCTGCAGCTGATAGCCTGTGTGTCTGTGTGTGTGTGTGTGTGGGGGGGGGGGGGGGGTTCAGCTTTGGTGACATTTGGGGGCAATTTTAAGACAAAAATCTTATATTTGGGGACAACTAGTGCATTTAGGGTTAAAAGTCGAGTCCCCATTTGCTTTCAATGCCATTGGTGGGTTGGGGGTTGGTTTTAGGACCAAGGTGTGAATTGAGTTTAGGTTAGTTTTAGGGTCAGGTAGGTACCTGTGAGGTTAGCCTTAGGGTTTGTGGTCAGGGTTAGGCTGTAGAAATGTAATGGAAGTCAATGGAATGTCCCCAATTAGATAGCTGTGCAAACTTGTGTGCGTGCGTGCGTGCGTGCGTGCGTGCGTGCGTGTGTGTGTGTGTGTGTGTGTGTGTGTTTGTGTCACAGGGGTTTCCATGGGTTTTATGGGAAGGGTGTGTGGGCTTGTGTGTTTCAGGAGGCTGGGGTGATAAGTGTGTGAGGAGAAAACTTCAGGGAGCACAGCTGGTAGTCAGAACTGTCCAAGCTTTGCACACTCTCACGCACACACACACATATGCTGCACAGGTGCTGTGCACCTGTCTGTAGCCTGGGCAGTTTGTACACCTGTTAGTTCTTCGCCCCTTCTCATGTCCATCACCCTCAGGTCATCTCTGCACCCTTGTCCACACGGGGGGTTGGGAAGTCCTGCTCCGCCGCCGCTGCTGCTGCTGCTGATGGTCCAGGTAAGATGAGAACTGTGATCTCAGTATCTGGGAGGAAAAGCGCAGCTGAGGAAGAGTCATTATACTGCAACAAATCATTGCGAGCCTCCTCTCATGCAGCTGTGTGAAACTCAAACCGTTGTCTGAGTGATGTATCAAAAGAAATAAGAAACA